CCCCCCCTATCCGCACTGGACATGTTGCAAAATCATGTACCCAATGGAGGTTGAACATGAGCCCAACAGACTTTATTCGATGCACGGTGCACGATTGAGGTTGAGCATGATCCCAAATGGATTTAACTTGATGCACAGTGATCATCACTTTGACAAAACAGGGTTAATGCTCCAGCTACAATGACTGCTCACACTGATAGATAAAACATTTCAATGAAATACACTGAAGATGAAGAATTGGTAGAACCAAAAGGCTTTAAGCCTGTTAGCTTTACCATTTAGATTTATAGCTTTCATTTCAACATACTGTAGCTGTAGGGTGTGCGTGTATGTGTATATATATATATATATTGCAATATTAATGAGTAAGCCGTATTAGTCCAGTAGACAAGACGTTGGAAAAAAAAACAAAACGCAGTATTGCAGTGTGCAATGATACCTTTCTTATTGGACTAACAAAATATATAAAAGACAAGCTTTCGAGAGTGAACCTCTCTTCTGACCTGAAGAAGAGAGGTTCACTCTCGAAAGCTTGTCTTTTTATATATTTTGTTAGTCCAATAAGAAAGGTATCATTGCACACTACAATACTATGTTTTTATATATATGTAGCTGTAGTCATGAAGGTGTACGAGCTTCTACAGCAAGCCTAATGTGCATTCTTCATTCGATTGTAACCATTTAAACAGCACAATATACACACAAACTATGTTACGTCCCTGCTTACTTCCGGGATGCAATTTAACGATCACGCAGGGAAAAAAAACAAAGCCCCCTGCCTCTGGACAGCCAGCGTTTTGGACCGGAGATGCGAGCTTACAGTGATTTGGTTCAGGGAGGGGGTCAGGAAGCGCTATATGCCTATTTTTAACGTCCTGAAAATATGTTGTGCATTTTTAATAAGATCCCAGATGGTACGTAGCTGTTATTGATTTTGTAAAACTGGAAGTGAATGCCTCCTTTTTTTTTGCTTTGTGTTGCACATTTACTACTCGAATGGCCTTTTGGATAATATAACCGCCGTGCACTTTTGTGAACCATTCAGTTTCTCTGGGAGTCTTATTAGCTTGTTCAGATGCTGCCATACTCTTTTCCTGTGACAGAATCCCCTTTGCTTTTTTTGTTTTTTTTTTTTTTTTTTTTTTATCCCCCCCCTCCCCATTTGATTTCTTTGATCTCACGTATTCATGCACTGTAATCTGTCATAATAATAAACACTGAGTAGTTATATAATTCTATATTTACTTAAAGTGACATTAAACCCTCAGATTTTTTAACATAAACCAATACTGTAATGTGCGCCTTACTGTAATCTATGGTAGGGAAACTACCGTGGATTACAGTAAGGCGCACATTACAGTATTGTTTTATGTTAAAAAAATCTGAGGGTTTAATGTCACTTTAAGTCTTGCTTTGCCTAGCACCAGTGCCATCTATTTGGCCTGATGGAGATTGCTTGATGTTTGCCAGCTAATGATTGTTCGTTGTGCTGAAGGCATACAGCTGAGAACCTCTCCCGTTCATTCAGAATTGTGAACCTCTTCCGTGCAAAGCTTTTGGCACATTCTGCTATGTTGGCCTCCTGCCTACAGGTGGCACTGATGCTTTAAAAACAATCTTTACATGAAGCTTTTTCGGTTTTAAAACCTGACCGTTTCTAAACTTTGGATGTTTTGTCACTCTCTGTAGTTTTTCTTTGCATGAATTTTAATCGTCTACTACTCAGTAATCATATTTTTTAAAGAATCTGCCTGAGGCCTCTGTAGGTTGGGGGTAAGGAAAGAACTAAGAAGCAGAAGTGGAACAATTTTATCTATTTCAGGCGAGAGCCAACGGATTAAAATCATGTGTAATTGTGCTGCGTATTCTACGAGATTTGTGCAACAGAGTTCCCACCTGGGCCCAGCTGAAAGGATGGGTGAGTGTGAAACGCGGCGGGACATCTTGCGTCATTTTGGTACCTGTGTAATGTTTATTTAGAGTAATATATATATACACTCGCCGGCCACTTTATTAGGTTCAATTGCTTGGTAATACAAATCGCTAATCAGCCAATAACACGGCAGCAACTCAATGCATTTAGGCGTCTAGACGTGGTGAAGACTAAGGATGGGCCTCGGGCGTGTTCGCAGCTCCATGTGCCGAGCCCGCCAGGAAGCTGACAGCGCCAATCACAGGTACCGAGACATTTCCCGATCTCTGCAGCTGCGGACCGGGAAAATGTCTCGGTACCTGTGATTGGCACGCGGAGCTGCGAACACGCCCCGAGCCCATCCTTAGTGAAGACGACTTGCTGAAGTTCAAACCGAGCATCGGAATGGGGAAGAAAGGGGATTGAAGTGACTTTGAACGTGGCGAGGTTGTTGGCGCCAGACGGGCTGGTCTGAGTATTTCGGAATCTGCTGCTCTGCTGGGATTTTCACGCACAACCATCTCTCCGGTTTACAGAGAATGGTCCGAAAAAGAGATAATATCCAGTGAGCGGCAGTTGTGTGGACAAAAATGCCTTTTTGAGGTCAGAGCTGAATGGGCAGGCTGGTTCGAGATGATAGAAAGGCAACAGTAACTCAAATAACCCCTCGTTACATCCGAGGCATGCAGAACACCATCTCTGAACGCACAACACGTCCAACCTTGAAGCAGATGGGCTACAGCAGCAGAAGACCACACCGGGTGCCACTCCTGTCAGCTAAGAACAGGAAACAGAGCCTACAATTCTCACAGGCTCCCCAAAATTGGACAACCTGAGATTGAAAAAACGTTGCCTGGTCTGATGAATTTCAGCTGCGACAGCAAAAAGTTTTCCCGGCACACTCACCAGCCAGCATGTAAAAAAACTTGTCTCACCACTAAGGTTAAAAACAGAGATTTGGTTACATGGGCCGCCTCCTGACAGACCTGCACCCAAGAGTTAGGACCGCACTATAAGAGGTGCCTTGGCGCGGCTGTGCGGCTTTCACATTTTCTGCAGAAGACGTGTATCCAAACCTCTGTTTCTAACCTTAGTGGTGACGCAAGTTTTTTTACATGCTGGCTGGTGAGTGTGCCAGGTAAACTTTTTGCTGTTTTACTGTTTAATGCCCATTCCATGTGCACCACGCTGTAAAGCTGGTGACGAATTGATGAGTGCGTTTGTCATTTGTTTTGCTTCATTTCAGCTACGACATTCAGATGGTAGGGTCAGAATTTGGCATAAATAAAATTAAAGCATTGATCCCTCCTGCCTTCTATCAATGGTTCAGGCTGGTGGTGGTGTAATGGTGTGTGGGGGATATTTTCTTGGCACACTTTGGGCCCATGATGCTATTATGTCAATACGGACCAAAATCTCTGAGGAATGTTTCCAACACCTTGTTGAATCAATGCCACGAAGAATGAAGGCAGTGCTGAAGGCAAAAGGTTGTCCAACCCGGTACTAACAAGGTGTACCTAATACAGTGGCCGGTGAGTGTATCGTAGAAGTAGAACTGAATCCAAAACGTTTGTTTTTAGCTCTAGATATATGTTTGGAGGATATAAGTTGTGGATATACATTGGAGTAAAGGAGGGTTATGACCCCCGTCAGCTTTTTCACCGTCTGTGTCCCATTTGGGGAGATTTCCCTTCACTTCATGTCCGATAGCCCCAAGAAGAAGTGAAAAGGAAATTCCTCTGGAGGGAAATCCCTGGTGGTCAGCAGGGTCGCCAGTAGTAGCATCCCATGTGGAAGATTTCCCATTTTGATGAGGACAAAGCAAAAGGAGCGCCTCCATAGCGTAAAATGGATTTATTAAGGATAAAACACACAGAGCTGAAAAGGTACTTGCAAACCGGCTTGTAAAAACGAGCAGAAAGCGATATAATCTTCGGAGACCATCAAGATGAATACACGAAAATAGGGTGAGGTAAAGGTAGTGCTAGTACTAAGCCGAAGCCATCTGCACGCTGACCCTCCTTCAGTTGACGCGTTTCTGAGGACAAACCTCTTTCATCAGAAATCAGATTTCCCATTTATTCGTGTTCTGAGAACAACCCAAAATTTGGCATTTTTTTGCACTTTCAAGACGAATAAAGAGGGTAAAGTTACTCAACAGGGGCACAGACGGCAATAAAAACCTGACACAACTTTTTGCTGCTGGCAATAAAAACCTGCCGCATGTCTGATCAATCTCCAATCTATAAAAAAATAACAAATTTGGCTTCGGTTGCACTTTAATGACAATTGTTGGCTAAATAATGAGGTGCCAAAAAAAAGTTTCCTATGCATCTTGCTAATAACTTGTTTTATTCATTTTCTTCTATGAATTGTTCTAAATACCGATGGTCAACGTCTGTTTCATTGTATTGGTGGCCCTTTGACTTACCTTCTGACTCTTATTTCTCCCAGCCGTTAGAACTTATATGTGAAAAATCAATAGGGACTTGTAACAGGCCGCTGGGTGCCGGGGAAGCATTACGGAGAGTCATGGAGTGTCTGGCGTCGGGCATCATTCTGCCGGGTAAGACCCTTTTGGGAGTGAATACAGCTGAATTGCATTGAGGTTTGTCCTGTAAGAGCGGGAAGAATGGTTTCACTGGAGGAAAGGCGAGGAGACCTTCCGGGCCCCCCAATGAAGGGTCTGGTTCTGCCACTTAGTTGAAGAAAGCTATAGAAAGCCCAAAGGTAACAAGAATCAATACATGTAGATGCATTCTGGATCCGTTAGAGCCGTTTGACCCGGGCATTCCGATCAGGTTCGCCTGTCTGTTTTCCATAGGGATCTGATTGGAAGCCCAGTGCTAGTCTATGGGCAGCCGGACCTAACTGGGCTTGTGTCTATTTACATCCGGTTACCCCCGACTAACGCTGGTATCTAATGTAAACGGATACATGTCCACTTACATACGACCCCCAGGGGACCTAACATTGGTCCGGTAAGGTTTCCTTTTTTTTTTCCTTCAACACAAGATGGAGGAGAAATCTGGCCGGACACGTATGTCACAATGGTGACATCCATTCTGAACTTCTCCGATCAGCAGGGGGTCTGTGTATGGAAACTGAGGGCGCCCACGTGAAAGGGGTCTCATTATCCAAAGAGAGTAAGGTCCGGTCCATTCAGCTTTTCCTCTTCCATTTTGCCAAGACAACTATGTGATTCCCTTTTAAAGGAGAACTATGAGGCTGAGTAAAAATCACTCAGCCTCATAGTTCGAGCCGACCTGTGACAATGAAACTGTCACAGGTCGGCTCAATAGATCGGGAAGTGAGCGAACACATACCGTCAGCTCACTCACTTCTCGATCCTGTCCCTTTAGAGAGCCGTGACTGTCACTGCAGGGATTCCCCCCCTTCCCCTGTCCGATCCTCCAGCTCTGACTGGCGGAAAGGACGGGGGAGGGGGCGGGTACAGCTGGCTCTGTCTCTAGATAGGCAGAGCCAGCTGTCACTCACACAGCTGGGTGGATCCAGACAGTAATGTCGGGATCCGCTCCGGCTGCGGCGGTCTCAGTATACCGCGAGCTGTAGCTCCCTATATACTGAGCCTAGGGTGACGGGAGGACGCTAGTTTGTGTCCTCCCGTTACCCTGAGGAGAACTATGGGGAAAACACTGACCCCATAGTTCCCCTTTTAAGGAGGAACTGCACCAAGAAACAATGTTTCCAATCAATGTGCCATCCCTTCATTGTCATTAAGTTTCACGTATTATGAGTGGATTTATTTTTTTATATATATATTACCCAATTTGAGTTCAGATAAATATTCTGTTTTTCCAGGAGGGCCGGGTCTGCACGATCCATGTGAGAGGGAACCTACAGATGCACTGGCGTACATGACCGTGAAAGAAAGAGAAGAGATCACGCAAAGTGCACAGGTAACCACACGCATGTAAACCACATCCATAGATCTTACCCCCGAATGCCATCTTTTCAAAGGTGTGGCTCATCACAGTTCTAACCATGTGATCTCGGCGTATTTTGGGAGGTTTAGGTGGCTTGTAGTGAACAGCACTTTAAGATTTAATTGCAGCTACGTACCCTTTGATGAACTTCAGGCTTTCTCTGTGTACTGGCTGATC